AATCGCAGAACACTTGGATATGGCTAACACCAATGTCTTTGGTTAGGCGGAGACCTGCTATCAATGCCTCATATTCGGCCTCATTATTGCTTGCGTCGAACAAGAAACGGAGAGCACACTTGAAATAACCACCCTCGGGGGCGGTGAGGATAAGACCAGGCCCACTGCCTTCTTTGCGGGATGATCCGTCAACGCTGAGAGTCCAAGAGTTGGGGTCTTCGGTCACGGAGGTGGTGGGGCTGTGGTCGGAGTGGGATTAGTGAATTCAAGGATAAAATTGACCACAACCTGCCCTTTGATTGCCGTTTGAGGTCTGTAGGAGATGTCAAACTGGCTGAGCTCGACCGACTATTGCATGAGTCTGCCGGACAGCTCTGGTTGTTGCATTATCTTCTTCAAGGGTTGGTCAGTGAGGACCACTATGGAATGGGCTTGGAAGTAAGGGCGGAGTCGTCTTGAGGCAGTGACCAAGGCCAATGACATTTTTTCTAGCAGTGGGTAGTTATGTTCTGTGCCTCTGAGAGCCCGGCTAATGTAATAAACCAGACATTGTACTGAACCGTCCTCCCGGATGAGGGCCGCACTGATTGCGGTCCTGGAGACAGCTAAATAGAGAAAAAAGGGCTCACCTGTGAGCGCCTGAGAGAGTAAGGGAGGGTTGGCCATGCACTGCTTCAATTATTGGAAAGCCTCTTCAAACTCGGTCGTCCATTCAAAAGTTTGCCGAAGAACTTTGAAGAAGAGGAGGCACTTGTCTGTTGCACGGGAAATGAAACGCTTGAGGGCGGCGACTCTGTCAGTAAGCCTCTAAACACCTCCTTAACCGTTCTGGGTGACTGCACTTCTATTAAGGCCTTGATTTTTTTGGGATTAGCTTCGATGCCCCGTTGACTGACCATGAAACCCAAGAATTTCCCAGATCCTACGCCGAAGGCGCATTTCTCCGGGTTGAGTTTCATTTGGTACTTTTGTAGGGTACCGAAGGTCTTTCGCAGGCCGGCCAGATGATCAGTGGAGCATTTGCTCTTGACTAGCATGTCATCGACATATACTTCCATGTTCCGGCTTATCTGATGGTGAAAGACGACGTTGACCAGCCGTTGGTAAGTGGCTCCGACATTTTTCAAGCCAAATGGCATGACACGATAATGGTAGGTTCCTCGGTCGGTGATGAAGGAGGTGTGTTCCTGGTCAGACGGATGCATCAAAATTTGGTTGTACCTAGAGAAGGCATCCATGAAGCTGAGCATTTGATGACTGGCCGTAACGTCAATAAGCAGGTCTATACGAGGAAGAGGATAACTGTCTTTGGGACAGACTCGGTTGAGGTCGGAGTAGTCGACACAGAGTCACCATTTGCCGTTATTTTTACGAACCAGAACCACATTTGACAGCCATCTAGGGTAGTCCACGTTTGTGATAAACTGTACCTCAAGGAGCTTATCTACTTCAGAAGTAATAAGGGTATTGCGCTCCGGGTGAAAGACACGCTGCTTCTGGCGAATGGGTCAGAAATAGGGCTCAATGCTGAGCGGTGGGTGATGAAGGAGGGGTCGGGGCATGTCAGAGTGGGTCCAGGCAAATACGACGTTGTGTTCAATTAAGAGGGCAATAAGGTTGGCCTTGGCCTGGAAGGATAGTTGGTTGCCGAACTTGGCGATTTTTGTCGGGTTGGTGGGATCGATGGGAACCTCGACAAGCTCTTCCACTGGTTTCCCTCTGACCAGGTCATTCTCGTCCCTAATGTTGAGCCCTTCAATGATCATAGCCTCCTTTAGCTTGACGTCTTTAAGTGAAGTGACGTAACATTTCCTGGCCACAGTTTGCTTGCCCCTCACTGTGCCGACCCCAAGGTCGGTGGGGAATTTGATGGCAAGATGGAAAGTGGATATGATAGCTTGGAAAGCATTGAGGGCGGTACGACTAAGGATGATGTTGTAAGCAGAGGGACAGTCGACGACGAGGAATGTGAGCAATTTTATGGTCTGCGGTGGGTATTCTTCAATTGTGATGAGAAGATTGATGGATCCGATGGAGGTCACTCGATCTCCAATAAAACCGACCAATGGGGTCTGGAGAGGGGACAAACTTTCTTCCCCAACCTTGAGCTGGTAAAAGGCATCGAGGAAGATGATATCTGAAGAACTGACGCTGTCGACGAGAACCCGACTGATTTTGTAGTTAGAAAGGAGAGCAGAGTTGACAAGGGGGTCGTTATGGAGGTAATGGATGCCTGTGCAGTCAGCTTTCGTAAAGGTGATGGGCTCTATCCACTGCTTGGGCTGTTTCGAAGGGTGGTCTAGTGTGGCAACTTCTTTATTTGAGCCCTGCCTTATTTTTCTGAGTTCTGCCCGCTGGGCTGAGCGGGATGGCCCTCCACAAGCGAGCCCGCCAGCAATAACTTTGATCTCTCTGACAGGGGGGACAGAATTATTTTGTGCCCGGGGTTGCTGCGGAGGTCTATCATGGCCTTGGTTAGGTTGGGCAGGTTGTCGATGAGGGGTGCACCGACTGTTGTTTCTGATAGGTTTAGTACTTTGCCTTTGCTGAGGGCGAGCTGCCGTGAACCGACTGAGACGTCCCTAACGTATCAAACCCTCGACCTGGTCTTTGAGGTTAATACACTCGTTAGTATTATGGCCGTGGTCCTGATGAAAGCAGCAGTATTTGGACTGGTCTGGCCGATTAGAAGGAGACCGTGACGGTTGGGGCCATTTTAGGGGATAGTCTCGTTAGATCTGATTGAGGACTTGTTCCATGGGAGAATTGAGGGGTGTGTATCGCTCGAACCGACCAAGCGGTCGGACTGGCGCGCGACTGGTCGGCTCGGGGTGGTCGGTTGGTATATTGAGATGTTGGGTGAGTGTATTGGGTGTTCCTATTTTCGGAGTCCTTTCTTTTCTCTCTGGGGGTCGGGTTTTTGGCTGCAGGATCTTGTCGAGCAGCTATAGAATCTTCTGCGTTCATGTATTTTTAGGCTTTGGAAAGTAGGGTTGCCATGGAGGTCGGGGGGTTTTTTGAGAGGGAGAAGAGGAAATCAGACGATCGTAGACTGGCCATGAAGGCCATGAGGATGACCTTGTCATCGTTTTCTGCTACTTGCAGGGCTTCGATATTGAAGCGAGTGACGAAGCTGCACAGCGACTCCTCCTCGATCTGACGGATATTGAGGAGTTGGGTTGTCGGACACTGCTGGCGCTGGGCACCAATGAAATGGCTGAGAAAGGAGTCACTTAGGTGTTGGAAGGTGGAGACAGAGTCTGCTGGCAGTTGACTAAACTAGAGTCGTGCCGACCCCTTAAGAGTTACAGGGAAGGCGCAACACATGATTTCGTCAAGGAATGTATGGAGGATCATGAGGGTCCTGTAAGTTTCCAAATGATCAACATGGTCCGTTGTACCGCCAAAAGAGTCGATCGTGGGCATTTTGAACTTAGGAAGTAGAGGTTTGTCCCGGATGGAGGCAACGAATGGTGAGTTGGCTGTGGTGAATTGTTTTATTTGGTATGTCCTGCATGACTCCTTGAAGCTGGAGCTTCATAGCTCGGAGTTCCGTGTCCCAGAAAGGGACGTTGTCACCGCCGGACTGGAGCGGAGGCTGGACACTACTGGTCTCTCCATCGGGGGTTGGTGTCGGGATCGATGGGTGTGGGATACGAGGGAGAGGGTTCATATCTGGGGGAGGGGGTCGCAAGCCTTCCAAGTTGGGCGGATGAGGCTGCTAGATAGTATGGCTCGGAGCTCGTTCTTGGTTGGGTGGGATATTTAGAGGTGGTGGAGGAGGCATGAAAAGGTTTCTTTGGAGTAGAACATTAATCAACGCTTGGTTTTGCTCGGCCAGGCGGTTAATGCTGTTGGTGAGCTCAGTAAAATACTGCGGTGGGTTGTTTGGATTGGGAGGGTCGGTTTGGTGGTCGGGAACATTGTGGTGAGAAGCCATGGATCTAGTCTTGACCATCCACCTTGGTGGGTGGCAGGAAGGGGTTATTGGAAAAGGGTCTCCAGCAGCAATGAACACAACTGGCGCGCGAAGCAAAAGGTTTCCCACAGGCGGTGCCAACTGATGATACATCGTGTTCTAGATGGAACGGGTCGAATCGATCCACACTCCTCTAACTGGTGCCCGAGGTACCAAGCCCACCAGAAGACCTGCACAAGAGTTCAACGGGGAACGGAGAGTCCCCCAGCGAACCCTCCGACGAGCAAGTTAGAAAGGGAGGTGAAATGTAGAAATAGAGAGCTTAACCTTCTTCTTATCTTCGACCTTTGCTTATATCCTCTGGTAATCATTTCATTATCCCTTCCGACCTGTCCTTATGGCCGAAAGTCTATGCTCTAACTTGTCTTATTCATGGTGAGCCTGTTCTGTCTCGACGGGGAGGGCTTATCGCAATAAATGCTGTAAGGGCCTTCATTAATGGCTAATGTGCAGTGCAATAACTTTGCAAGATTTTTGTCTGCTTATATGGCTTGTCCTTCTGTTGCCACGTGTTTAGGTGCTATTGGTTCTTAATGCCACGTTGAGCTCCAGCAGCGTTGGGCCTTAATATTTGAGTTATGTATTGGGTCTTAAACGGTGGGTTGTATCTTTTGTAGGCTTACCCGTGTCAATTTTCAAAATATACAACCAAACAAATTAAATAAAAATTTATACTTTCTCTCTAAATTTTCTTTTGAAAATTTATCTCAAAACACAAACCTAACACACTTTCTATTTTTCATCCTCCCTTCAAATATGAAAGATTAACCCATTCTCCTTCTAAATAGAAATTGATTTGAAGAATGAGTTCGTGAAGTAAATCTTTCAAATATAAAGTTTTGGAGGTTGGATTGGAAATGCTCTGAGAGGGGGCGAAATAGGTCCGCACCCGTGAAACTGCACCCACCCGCCACGGATGCAACAAATTATTGGGCGGGGCACCCGTGAAACTGCACCCACCCGCCACGGATGCAACAAATTATTGGGCGGGAAAGAAAACCACCCTCGCCAGAAGGTGCTAGACTAGACACCTAGAACCTTCTCTACTACACTACACGCATATCATATCATATGCTTCTCACAAAACTATTTCGATGTTGCTATTTCAAAATTATAAAAACCAGCTTCTTCTCGAATCCTCCAAATCCAATCCCAATCCCCCACAAAAAACACAAAACAAACACAATTGATCCAAATCTCTCCCAATTCTTCCACCATACATACATAACCCCAGCTCTCTAAATCTAATCAAGCACAGAACAAGAAGAGAATTTGAAAGAGAAAATGGCATCTTCTGCGACACTTGTACACCTACTGATTGGAAAGTCCAATAATTTTCCTTCTTCACTTTCCACTCCACCAAACAGAAACCGAATTCCAATTTCCTCCTCCTCAACAACAACAACAACCCTATTCTTCGGTCACAAACTGAACAGTAACGTTTCTTCTTCTTCTCCTCGTAGAAGAAGAAATGGTAGGTTTCGAGTTGTGAGCGAGAAGGTAGTGGGGATCGATTTGGGGACGACGAACTCTGCTGTAGCGGCCATGGAAGGTGGGCAGCCAACGATCGTCACCAACGTGGAAGGGCAGAGAACGACTCCATCCGTGGTGGCGTATACGAAGAATGGTGATAGGCTCGTTGGGCAGATTGCGAAGAGACAAGCTGTTGTGAACCCTGAAAACACCTTCTTCTCGGTGAAGAGATTTATTGGGAGGAAGATGTCGGAGGTTGATGAGGAGTCCAAGCAGGTGTCTTACAAGGTTGTGAGAGATGAGAATGGGAATGTTAAGCTTGAGTGTTCTGCTATTGGGAAGCAGTTTGCTCCTGAGGAGATTTCCGCACAGGTATGTATGCATGCAGTGCTTCGAAATTTTCAAAATCACTGATTGAAAATGTTAGCATCTATACATTGAATATTGTGTTTGCATGAGAATATTTTGTTTCACATTTCAGCAAATTTAAAATTTGAGTGAAAAGTTTGATTTGATATATAAACTACTCTAATTCTTTTATCAAATTTGATGTCTTTTTAAAAAATTTTCTCTTATCCCAAAAAGTCTCCAATGCTTCATCTTTTTACACTTCTATCAAATTCAAATTAGACGATGGATTTGATGAGTTTCCTTTAATTTGATGAAAGAAAATGGGGAGGGATAGAAGATGCTTTTCTTTTAACTTTTTAGTATTTGGGTTCTCAGTTTTTTTCTTTTTTTTAGATTCGTTTCACGCTATCTATATAATCCATCTTTTTATTTTTATTTTTTTCATCACATCAGCTTTCTATTTTTTTTGTACATCTTTCCGTAAAAGGATAAAAAATACATTTTTTTTAAGACACCCCACACCAACCCTAAATTACATAACCTCTTTTGTTTTTCTGTTTTGTTTTTTTCACTTGGATCCAATTGGGATTGGGGTTAATGCTTCAGGTCAATTGCGATATTTAATGAAATAAATTTGGGTTAATTATATTAACCTCCTTAGATTTTTGAAAAAAATACAGTTAAGCAAATAAGTTTGTGTTCCGTTAATGTTTAAATTCACATTAATATTTTACTCTCTTGTCATTTCTTATCTGTTATTCATAGTTATCTCTTGCTAATGGTAAGGTTTTCTGGTAGTGTCCCTAGTGTATCTTGCTTGCCCCAAAGTGGTTTTTGCGGGAGGCTTGTGTAGCTCACTCATATATTAAACTTAACTGTATAGAAATGATATATTAGTTTATATAATGCTTTAAATAAATTCTGGAATGGGTATTTTTTAAGAAAAATGTTATACCTCATTGGCTTCTTTATAAACGCACCTCAAAATAAATAGTATAATGTGTATTGGTGATATTGTCATGTTTGTAGTTATGGACACTAAAGACTAATTTTACAGTAATTCTTTAAAAAAAAAGAAGAAGAAGATATTTATAAATTCAAAGCAATTGATATATCATTATTTATAGCGATAAATCCGAAACCAGTATGCCTACTGTACCAATAACAAAAATAGTACTCTGACCGGTATGAGATTGAACTCTGCTCCTTAGCTCCCCCAAGTACATAATCACTTATTTTGTGTTTAAGTGGATTTCTTCTTTATGTTTTCCTCCTCTTTCATTCTCCCACGCTTCATGGTCTCATTCAAAACATTCCTCCTAAGAAATAATTCTTGTTGCTTTATTCCTTTCTCTTATATAATTTTTGCCAGTTGGCCTTTTCCTTAAAAGATTATGTTGGGATTCTTAACGCTGTGTTTGGTTGGGAGTTTTGAAAAGAGATTTGAAATAGGAAAGGGAAAAGATGTATGAAATTAGGTAAAATGTAAGTATATTTTATTCACATTTCACTTATTTTTTTTCCTTTTCCCTGTCTAATTCTCTTCCCAAATCCTCTAATCAAACACCGCGTAAATATCACTTCCTTCAAAAAAAAAAAAATAAAGGAAAAAAGAGAAGAAAGTGCATTGACATTGTCATCAATACCATATTTCACACATCATATGAATGGTTTCTAAATTTTTGAAAAAAAAATGCATGGAATCTACTGTCTGCTGGGCCATTTGTTGCACATCAATATACCATATGGGTGGGTGTATTTGTCTTCAATGTACAAAATTCATAATGTTTTGAGCTTGCAAGTTTCCATACTTTCATCTTTGTTCATGCTTCCCAAATTTCTACCACATTTTTTAAAAATTATTTTGATAACCTCTTCCTAAAACTTTTCAACCCTTGGAAGATTGAAACTCACATTGGAATGAAAATTTTAGTCGTGCCCTAATTTCTTTTTGTTGAAGCCATGATGAAGATCCCATATTTTTTTTTTATTATGACTTTTTATATACGCATAGTATATGTAACTGCGCTCCTGTGTTGAAGAAAAAAATAAATGGTCTTCCTTGAACTTATAGCTTTTTGTCCTCTTGATGCCCTAAAATAATTAGATGTGTATTTGATTGTTTTCATGATTCATTGAAACAGTGATATATTTTTTGCTAGGTTTTGAGAAAGCTTGTGGATGATGCTTCCAAATTTTTGAATGATAAAGTTACTAAAGCAGTAATTACGGTACCAGCTTATTTCAATGATTCCCAGAGAACAGCAACAAAAGATGCTGGCCGTATTGCTGGTTTAGAAGTTCTGCGTATCATCAATGAACCTACTGCTGCTTCATTAGCTTATGGATTTGAGAAGAAGAATAATGAAACCATTCTAGTATTTGACCTTGGAGGGGGTACATTTGATGTCTCAGGTATAAAGACTATGGCTTGTTTAAAATTCATATAGATGGATGGTTAGGTTTTTTTATTTGTTATAATTGTTATAATTTCCCTGAAGTTAATGATAGCGTGCGTAGCAGAGAAATTGCGCAGATTGGTAATCTATTCTTGAAATTCAGTCAGCACTGTTGTTCATGTCATGTAACTGCGTTGTTAATCCTGATTCAAAACCAAAAAAAAAATAAAAAAGAAAAAAAGAAAGAAAGAAAGAAAGAAATTTGAACTCTTTTGTTGGCTCTATCAATGGAAATATCCGATCGCAAAATGTTCTCAATTTCTCTTTTTGATATTGGCCCTGTTTGGTAGAGCTGTGGGAAAGTGATTATAACTTATAGTTTAACAGCTTATAACTTATAGTTGTGAACATAAGTTGATTTTTGACTTATAAATTAAGTTTCTCCTCCCCCACTCAAAGAATAAGTTGATTTTTGACTTATAAAAAGCTATAAGCTGTATTGTTAAGCTGAACCAAACACATCAAAATAGCGTAAATTAAGCTAAAAACTGAAATAAGTTGAAAATAAGCCCTACCAAACAGGGCTATTAGTTGATTTGTGCACGAGTTCTGCGGTACTTGACATTTTTGTTGGCTTATCTTTTGTTGTGCAGTTCTTGAGGTTGGAGATGGGGTGTTTGAGGTTCTTTCTACCTCTGGTGATACGCATTTAGGAGGAGATGACTTCGACAAGGTCTGAACGAGGATTACAGTTAATTTATAGCATTTGTTCCTGCTTTATATTGTTTGATTAGTTCTGGTTTAACAATTATGGTTATATTTGCAATAGAGAATTGTCGATTGGCTTGCTGGAAATTTTAAGAGGGAAGAAGGCATAGATCTTCTGAAAGACAAACAAGCCCTTCAACGTCTCACTGAGGCAGCTGAAAAAGCAAAGATAGAGTTGTCATCTCTGACCCAGACCACTATTAGGTATGTTGTTTCTTGCGCTCTCTTTTTGTTGCTTATTGCCTTCTTTCAGGTTTGCTGACTGATCTCTCTGTTTTGTCAGTTTGCCTTTCATTACAGCCACTGCAGATGGCCCAAAACACATTGATACCACCCTTACAAGGGCCAAGTTTGAAGAATTATGTTCAGATTTACTAGATAGGTAACTCCTATTCCAATATATTTAAAGAATCATTTTTTACGAGTTCATTAATATATAATTGTGCAAATCGGGAAGTTGGTATTGCTTGTAGCTATAAGTTGAGAGACAAATTGCTAAAAAAAAAAAGAGTTAGTTTAGAGACAAATGGTATGTGCTAATTAGGTTTGTCAACTTCCACACTAGGAAGCACGGGCATAGATATGGCGATATGAAAAAAATGAGGACACGGACAAGCGGGGATACATAAATAAAAATTAAATTTGTATATATTTTTAATTGCTATATAAATTAATGTTGTGCCCACAAACAATCAATCTTAACAAAAAATAATAGTGGTTCAATATAAAAAAAACCACTAGGTTTATACAATTCATAGATCACCCATAAAAAAAAAGTCATAAACATTCAACATCCATCGAAAACAGTAAAGAAGTGGTGGAAAAAACTAGTTGGCATATCCCCAAAAAATAAGTTGATTAAATAAAAGGATATGCCAGTTGGCGTGTCCTGTTCATGTCCGGAGTGTTTGACACTTCCGTGACACTTGTTTTGGAGTGTCCACTTTTCCCAATTTAGTAGCTCATGATTTGCATTCATTTTTCACAGGCTTCGCACACCAGTTGAAACTTCACTGAAGGATGCAAAGCTCTCCTACAAAAATATAGATGAAGTGATCTTGGTTGGTGGATCAACGCGTATCCCAGCTGTTCAAGAGCTGATCAAAAAATTGTCTGGCAAGGAACCTAATGTCACAGTCAATCCTGATGAAGTTGTTGCTCTTGGAGCTGCAGTTCAGGTTCTTTTCTTGACTGGCTCATCTTCTGCTCTGCTCTTTTTCTTTCTCTCCAAATTTTATCCTCTACTCTGCATGCTTCTACATTACTTTGCTTGGTAGTATACTAATCATTGCTGTCAAATTGTGAATTCCCAGAAAATATAAATTTGTATCAAACTAGAATTAGTAACTAATCTCAACATGGAAGTAATGAAAAAACTCGTATAAGCGAAAAATCTCAAATATCCTTGATCATGAGACGTAATTATCACCATAAATGAGAACCATAATTCCAACTTAATCATTTTTTTTTTTTTTTTTAAATAGTGGATCATAAATATAGTATAATATAACTAAAATACACATGTAGTATTTAAAATGATAGAAATATCAATATAATGAAATTGTATATATGTATATTAATATAACTAGTTGATTTCCTTTTTGATTTTATGAGACACTGTTTCATGTATTATGCAAATAGAACTGAGTTGCAATGAATTGTTGTGAATCACAATTGAATTGTAAGATTTACTCAATTTAAGGTTCAACTGCTTGAATCAATTTTTTTGGGGGGGTTAAAACTGCACGAATCAAATTCTTTTGCTTGAAACTTGTGTTGTATCTTATGAAACGAATTGTGAATCGCAAGATTTTAACAACTGTGATAGTAATTTTCCCACGTTCTGTTTTTGGGTTCCAGGCTGGTGTCTTAGCTGGAGATGTTAGTGACATTGTGCTCTTGGATGTAACTCCACTGTCTCTAGGTCTTGAAACATTGGGTGGTGTAATGACAAAGATTATTCCGAGGAACACAACCTTACCGACATCCAAATCAGAGGTCTTCTCCACTGCTGCAGATGGGCAGACCAGTGTTGAGATTAATGTCCTTCAAGGTGAAAGAGAGTTTGTGAGGGACAACAAATCTCTGGGAAGCTTCCGTCTTGATGGTATTCCACCAGCTCCACGTGGTGTTCCACAGATTGAAGTCAAATTTGACATCGATGCCAATGGTATCCTTTCTGTCACAGCTGTTGACAAGGGAACAGGAAAGAAGCAGGACATCACAATAACCGGAGCTAGCACCTTGCCTAAAGATGAGGTATGTCTTTGTTTAACTCTTATTATGACGGTAATGCTATCGAATGAAACAGATCCACAAGATGAGTAGTTTAAAATTGGTAATGAATATTGCTGAGATTGTTGATGCTTAACAAGTGACTATTTTTCTGTTGATCTTAAACTGGTGACTTGCTGTAATAGTTGAGAACGCAAAACTGAAGTTCCTAAACCATACTATATACTGGTTTTGCAAATTGATTTTATCTTGAAGACAGTCAAAGAAAATTGATTTATTGAGATCCGAACTTTTTGACAATAGAAAGTTGAATAGGTATTTAACCAAGGAAGTGGAACTCACTTATCAGACACTTGATATATACTTACCTGTTATTGCAAGTGTTTTCTATAAAGAAAGAGAACAAAATTTAGGGTCAGCATTTAGATAAGGAATTATAGGCGATATCAACTACTACTAGATTACCCAAGTAAAATGGTAAAGGAGAATGAAATTATTTCATTTAAATTACTGAAATTGTGATCAGTTGATTTCTTACGATATGACTGAAATAGGAAGTTTGAAAGATTTTTTTCCCCCATACTTTTTGAAACTGTTTTTAGTCAAATTTATGCTTGCTCTGTATCTCATTAATGAGTCTTGAAAACTCATTTGGCCTCCATTTGGATGAAATGAATATGTTGTAGGTGGATAAGATGGTTAAAGAGGCCGAAAAGTTTGCAAAGGAAGATAAGGAAAAAAGAGATGCTATCGACACAAAAAATCAGGCGGAATCTGTTGTCTACCAAACTGAAAAGCAGCTTAAGGAGCTGGGAGACAAGGTTCCTCCTCCGGTCAAGGAGAAGGTGGAGACCAAACTGAAAGAACTAAAGGATGCCATCTCCGTGGGTTCAACTCAAACCATTAAGGATGCAATGGCCTCACTGAACCAAGAAGTCATGCAACTAGGGCAGTCTCTTTATAGCCAGCCAGGGTCTCCTGGTTCTGGACCTGCACCTGATGGAAATGCTGCTGGGCCGTCTGGGTCAACTGGTAGTACAGGTGATGGAGATGGAGATGTGATAGACGCGGACTTCAGTGAAAGCAAATGATCGACGCGGACTTCAGTGAAAGCAAATGAATGAATTAGTATGACTTTTTTTCCTCCCATTTAGGCAGGTTCTGTGAATATTGTATATATTTAGCATGAAGAAATCATTTCCTATCAATGGTGTCAAAGACATGCCCTGTTGAATCTCTGTTATCCCTCAAGGGGTGTCTTGCAATGTGCAACGTTGTGCCTTTTCTTGTAACTTATTTTTGTTTTATATTCTCTTTTCTCTCTTTTCTCATAATCTCTCTCTGCCTCTCTGTCTGTCTCTGTCTCTGTGTCTCTATTATTGAGGACATTAGATGCATAACCCATTACGAAACCTAGCTGGAGATTTTAAATAATTGTTTGGCTATTTTCTGGAAACATTGTTCAAATCAACAAGGGACTGAACATTTTCCTGACTTGTAAAGTCAAATTAATGACCATACCAGATGTCGAACCAACCACAAAAAAGAGTAGTAAAGTCAAATTAATGACCATACCAGATGTCGAACCAACCACAAAAAAGAGTAGGAGGTACAAATTGAGTGAAACATCTCTTTAATGGCAGGTCTTCACTGTCTGATGCATATGATTTTTTGTTTTTAGATAGCGTTTGATGAATATGGTTAGAATTATATTCAATGATTAATTTTGTTTTAGATAGCATTTGATGAACGGCAGTGCTACGTAGCTCGAAATTCTTTGGCTTGAATTTGGCTCGACACCAAAACGACGTCGTTTTGGTGTTTTTCTTTTCTTTTCTTCCTGTGTTTTTGTTCAATCAGAAACGAAGAGGGGAGAAGAAGAAGAGGGGAGGAGAAGGAGGAGAAGAAGAAGGGAAGGGAGAAGGAAGAAGGGAGAACTGGACAGGAGGGGGCCTCAACCAGTGGCGGAGGCGCGGCGGAGGCGGTGGTGCTGCGACGAGCTGTGATCGGCGAGGCGGTGGTGTTGCGACTGCGATGATCGGCGAGGAGGTGGTGCTGCGACGATCGGTGGCGGTGGTGCTGCCTCTTCCTCTTTCTCTTCTCCTCTCTTATTGTTCAAATCAACAAGGGACTGAACATTTTCCTGACTTGTAAAGTCAAATTAATGACCATACCAGATGTCGAACCAACCACAAAAAAGAGTAGGAGGTACAAATTGAGTGAAACATCTCTTTAATGGCGGGTCTTCACTGTTTGATGCATATAGTTTTCTGTTTTTAGATAGCGTTTGATGAATATGGTTAGAATTATATTCAATGATTAATTTTGTTTTAGATAGCATTTGATGAATATGGTTAGAATTATATTTTATGATTAATTATCTCTCTGGATGATGACATTACCTGTTATAGTTAATATTATTTTGTTCAGTATGAGACTTTGAAAAGACAATTTATAAGATAAATTATATTTATTTGTGTATTGTTGTAGTGGTATTAGTTGCTTGAGGTTATTTTTGTGAAATTATATACTCTCATTTTATGAAAGGTGGTTTTGTTATTTTTGTAAAGTAGGGGTAGGATGGTATTTTTACTTCTAATATCATCGGATTGGATTGTAGCAATCTCATGAGATTCTTATCCCATGTTATTATTGCCAACTAAATAATATGTGGTCTACTGAATTGTTAATCTAATCCTATCATTCATAAAGCTAAACAAAACCAACAAAAAAAAAATAGAGTTAAACAAACGTGGTTTTAATTTTAAAGATATTTCTCCAAGTCCCTAGACAGTGACATAAGTGGAAGGAGTCCCAGCACCCTCAAAAGCATATACAATACTTCCAAGCTTTCACTCTCTTGCTCAATAAATTGATTCCCTTCTCTTCTCTAATCCCAAATGAAGTCAAAATAGAACCTATCAAGAGATTAGAAATTTAGCCCTAAGATCTCAATCAAAACAATAATGTTAAAAACTCTAATTAGTTTACTAATTAATACATAAATTAAGGTCTCCTTTAGTAACTTTTAATTTTAATTAAAAAATTAAAAAGTCATTATAAGTTATTACATAATTTTTTTATATATCTTTTCGTAAAATGTTAAAAAATTACTAAAATAATTTGTTTCTAAATGTGATTTAAATTCGAGACATATATGTGATCACTTAATCTAAATTTTATTTAATATTATATAAGATTATATGTACTTAATATATTATTAATACACTAATCATTTTTAACATTATTGTAATCTAAAACTTGCCCAGCCATTGTGGCCCCAACTGATTCTGTGAGGATATTTTGAACCCATTGAGGTTGATGCGATCATTTTCACCTAACTGAACAATTTATTTTATGTTTTTAAGAAAGGCCTGGCTTTCCTCTAGTTCTAGATCGGATTGAAAAGTACTGTTGGATTCGTGAGGGTTCTTCAAGAATTTTATTTTGATAATTCAAATTGTTCAATGTGTAAAATTTATAGAGTATTATATGTCTATAAAAAAATTACATTGATCGGATATTAATAACTATATGATTAAATCAGTTTTGTATAAAAAAAAATAGACTATAAAAAAATAAATAGTTGACAAAAATTTGATCCGATAAAATAATTATCGATATCCGATTAAAATAATTTTTTATAGATATATAATGTTCGATGAATTTTACACAACGAACGATTCAAATTATCAAACAAAATCCATAATGAGCCTTTATAAATCCAACAATATCCTTCCATATGAGACCTGAGAAAAGCCAGATTCTTTTAAAAAAACAATTTTCTCACCTCGTAATCAAAAGATACTAAAACACTCAAGACCCATTTTGAATCCTAACATGGAGGCGACCATATTTGTTACTCTTCCGTACTAAAATAGCAGTTTTTAAAAAAAAAATTAATTTTTTTAATAATATAATTATTATATTTTAAAAATATTAACTTTTAAAAGTTATCCTTGATAATACATTTTTTGAAAAATATTAATTGTTATAATTATAATTTTTGTATTATTAATGAATTTAAAAGAAGGGTAAAATAGTAAATTTATATTATTTTATTCTTTAATTTTTTAAAATAGACTAATATTTTAAGACGATGAGAAATTGTGGGAATATATTTTCTGAGTACCAACACGTGGCTAAGGTGACGCCAACGTGTCAGCCGAGGTGCCATGTGTCTTGGTCATAACGCCGAGGTTATCTCGGCGAGGCCGAGGTTACCTCTGAAGATATCGGAATCCAAGGTAAGCGGATAAGACACAAAAGTCTTAAAAAGGGAGAAGACTATAGTTGGGAAAGGATAAGACTCTTAGTGAGTTTATCCCAATCCTACTGGGAGTTCAAGATTAATAGTAATCCTAAGTCCATTAGAGCGAGGCTCCTGTTGGGACAATGATTGAGTTAGCTATAAAAGAGAGGCATCCTCGTTGGTCTAAGGTACGCAATTTCATATTCTGAACAGTGAGATTTGCATTATTGATTATCTTTGAGAGATATACTGACTTGATCGTCGGAGTGTCCCTGGGTGAACGAACCACCGCCGGAATCTTCTCTTTCTGTTGCAGGTCAGCCAGGTGTCATCTATTCTGTCAGTGTTCTCCAGCTGAATACTAAGTTGGGCAGTGTGATTGGAAAATCACTCACACAATTTGGCGCCGTCTATGGGAAAGAAAGGAGAATAGATGGCCAGTAATGGACAGAAGGAAAAGATTGGGGACAACACTCCTGCTGGGAGTGGGAGACCTATTGACCTTGATGTCGAAGGAGACGAATGCAACGCAGAAACTCATGACCAGAATCATGGAGTGAAAGACGTCAGCCAGACTGGCGACGCACCAAAGAAATCAGATCGAAGTGGATACTACAACGAGGACGACCTCCAGGTATGGAAGGATAGGTGCCTGCGAAGGGACGAAGAGGTAAAAGAGATGGCAAACAAATTGGCAGACCTGCAGTTGGTTGTCAATTTCATGATGCAAAATAACGTCATGCAGCCACCGTTCCCGCTGCAGGAGACGCCGATTCCAGCAGCCAATGCCCAGAAGGGAGGGCAGAAAACAATCCTCGTAGCCCCTTAGCACAACGAGAGCGAAAGATACTCTCACCGACCTTCTAGGGAAGTCGGACGAAGAAAGTCAAGAAGAGAAGAATCACGGAGGACGCATCGCACAAAGGAGGCAGACCCTAAAGGACATCGGCATGTTCAGGGGTAGACACTGTGCTTCGACACAACTCATGGAGAAGGGTCGAAAAGGGCTCACCATGAAGCTGAAAGTAGCGTACCAAAAAGACTGAAAGTAGGAGATAGCCGAGCTCCTGGGCGGACGAAGGAGGACTTAAGAGATTACCTCAAGAGGAAGCAACAGAATGCCGACGCCGAGGTAACCTCCCCAGATAAGCCGAGGACACCATTCTCGGTAGAATTGGACAGGTTTGAGGCACCGAAGAGATTCAGTATGCCGAGGTTTCAAATATACAATGGTAAGTCAGACCCCAACTTCCACGTCGGACTATATTTGAACTCAATGTTATTGTATAGTGGGAACGAACCGTTGCTCTGCAAAGTGTTCCCCTCATCTTTCGGGGAGGTTGCATCAGATTGGTTCCACAAATTACCAAAGGGAAGTGTGAAGACTTGGGAAGGCCTAGCCAAGATGTTTGTGGCCAGGTTCGTGACAAACAAGCTGCAGCCGTTAAGGGTGGATGCATTGATGGCTCTGAAAATCAGCAAGGATGAAGGCCTTAGGGTCTATGCAAAATGATACTATGAGGTGTTCAACCGAATACCCGAATGCAATCAAGAGGTGGCGGTCGTATCTTTCAAGAACGACCTGAAAGACAATTGTCCACTACGAAAGTTTTTGGCAAAGACATTGCCAAAAAGTATGGAAGAGCTCATGGTGAGAATCGAGAAGTATGCCAGAGCCGAAGAAGACACGTCGGGGACTAAGGAGATAAAACAAGAGAAAGGAAACAGCTCGCCGAAACGAGGCCGAGGTAACAATGGATCAAGCAAACAAGAAACAGAACTGAGGGCCACATAGGCAGTAACAACTGTGTTCCGAATCCCGATTCCCAAAGTCCTGGACCGGATTCGAAACCAACCCTATTTCAGAACACCAGCGAAGACACCAGGAGAGTTTATGGGAAGGAACAATGGCAGACATTGTGCTTACCACAATGAAGATGGGCACATGACTTAGGGTTGTAGAGCTCTGAAAACACACTTGGAAGAACTAGTGAGGCAAGGCCATCTGAGAGACCTCGTCGATGAGGCCAGGACAAGGGAAGAACAGGCAAGATTGCCTCAGGCGCCAGCAGCTCCGCCTCC